GGGTAATCTTCAGCAGAATCTTGCTTGCATGTAAACTGAAAAACCTATCTGTAAAGATTATTAGAAATTTCCTTTTTGATGTTCTATTCTGAGGCGGAAAACCAAAGAGGCTATTACCTAAATATAAAATGAACTCTCATGTTGGTTTTTCTTAAAAATAAGAAAAACATGCAAAGGAGTGGCACAGAAATATTGTGAAGAATTAGAAGTAGCCAACAATGGTGCAGGATAGAGCAGGGTTCAGACCTTTTGTTCATAGGGTTGCTCTAAGTCGCGCTCAGCTCAACAGCACCTATCAACAACAATCATATCAAATGTGGTGGGAGAAGAAGGAGAAGAATCCCTGGCTCTCTGATTAGTTCCAGTTGTCTGCAAAAACAAAGTCAAGGGGCCTCACAGGGACACCACAACAGGAGGAAGGCAAGATCGTATCTGTTCTACTCTCCAAGGGCCATACCGCTGATTAGTTCATCCATTTAACACAAGGAAAGGGAGGCTGGACAGCATGAGGAAACATTTCCTTCCCTAATGCAAGAGTAATTATCTGGAATGCCCCAAAGAAGTTATGGAAGGGAAATAAATCTTTTACAAGTTCTAAAAATGCACAGCTGAGACAGTCAAACTTTTCATTGGGTTGCAGACAATGAATCAGGGGATCCTTTCAGCAAGATCAGAGTACCGAAGCACTCTGCACAGGCTGTGAGGTCAGGAAGCACTCCCGCTGCGGGCAGGTCAGTCAACATGCTCATTGCAAGCAGCTGGAGAGTCTGCAGGCTCAGCGGCTCTCAATGAATATGCAGCTACATGTGCTTTCAAGACGTGTCCTCCAAAAGAGTCTTAAATACTGCCCATTAAGAGTTGCACTGAGGTCTTTGGGTGGGGCAGACGTAAAGCACTAAAAGACGTAAAGCCGTAAAGCGAATCACCTAATTGCTGGCAGTTCGAACCTTCCACAGGTGCTTTAGAGAGCTATCTATCTGTAGAGCTGCTTTTGAAAGATCAGTCTTTAAAACAATTTTTAAAAAGGAAAAGAAAGATCAGTCTTCAAAACTCTGTGGAGCCTGGTGCTACTCCACAAGCCTGAGCCAAAATCAACTTATCTGCAACTGCCAGCAGCAGCAAGAGGTGGGTCTACAGCTCCGGTGAATTTCGGTGGATTTGTGTCTTTCCCAAGGAGCCTTGATGGTATAGTAGTTAAAGAATTTGGCTGTTAACCAGCAGATCAAGACAGCTCTGGTGGCTTAGTGGTAAGAAGTTGTGCTGCCAACCCAAAGGCACATGGTTTATTTCCACCAGCAGCTCTGCAGGATAAAGATGGGCAATCTCCTCCCATGCAACTGTCTCTGAAAAACCCACTTGAGGGTCAGCTCTGAGTTGGATTCAGATTGGTGGTACATAACAAAAAAATCAGTAATTTGAATCTGTCAGCCACTGAGAAGAAGGAAAAGTTGGCATCCTAATTCTGTATGTGTCTATACCTAGAGCAGGTGTTACTGTGCAAACAGATCAAGGAAACACTGCATGGTTTGAAATAAAGAAGGGAGTGCATCAGGGTTGTATTATTTCTCCATACCTATTCAATCTGTATGCTGAGCAAATTATTTGAGAAGCTGGACTCTGAAGAGGACTGTGGCAACAGGATCTGAGTGAGACTCAACAATAATGTCCATTATGCTGATAACACAACTTACCTTGCTGAAATTGAGGAGGAATTGAAGCACTTGTTGCACAAGATCAACGAATGTCGCCTTTGGTATGAATTGCATCTCAGTGTCAAGAAAACAAAGATTCTTGTCACTGGACTGATAGGCAGCATCATGATAGATGGAGAAAAGATTGACCATGTCAACAACTTCATCTTACTTGGATCCACAATTAACATCCTTGGTACCAACAGTAAAGATATCAGAAGATGTATTGCACTGGGAAAGCCTGCAGTCAGTGACCTCTCCAAATTATTGAGGAGTAATGATGTCATTTTGAGGATGAAAGTGCATCTGATCCAGGCCATGAACTTTCCAATTATTTGCTATGCATCTGAGAGCTGGACAACGAATAAGGATGACAAAAGAAGAACTGACACTGTTGAGCTGGAGAAGAGTGCTGAACATCCCATGGATGGCCAAAAGAATCAACATATATGTCTTGGAGAGAGTGCAGCCAGAATTCTCTTTGGAGGCAAGGATGAGCATGTTGCTTGGAGGGGCTATTCCCTGGAGAGAGACATGATGCTCAGAAAGGTAGAGGGTTGGCGAAGGAAGATAAGATCCATGAGCAGATGGATTGACACAGTGACTGCCTCAGTGGGCTCTAGTGTGCCAGGAAGAGTGAGCGTGATACACAATAGTTCAGATCTGTTGTTCATCGGTTCGCTATGGATTGTACTCAACGGCACCTAACAACAACAATTTCTGTATTATTTGTAGCCTTAAAAATCTTAGGGGTTAATTCTCCCCTGTCCTGTAGGGTTTCTATGAACCAGATTCAACTTGATACCAATAAGTTTTTGGGTTATGATGATTACCATCAATAGCTGCTGCTGCTGCTGCTGTTGCTGTTGCTGCTGCTGCTGCTGCTGTTAGGTATCAGTGAGTCAATTACAACTCATGAGCCGTTCTTGTTGTCTCTGAGAATGCTTGAGCCTATTGTTACAGTCACTGTGTCAGTTCATTTTGTTGAGGGGCATCCTCTCTTTCTCTGACCCCTTCACCATTAACCAGTATGATGTGTTTCTCCATGGATTGACGCCTCCTGACATTTTTTATAGACAAGGAAAAACCCACCCTACACTACAACCAATTTACTCATCATCAGCATCATCCTCTTCAACTTCATTCACCTCTTCCTCCTCCTTCTCCTCATCTTCCTCTTCCTTCTTCTTCTTGCTTTTCTCAGTCTTGACAACTCCCTTTCTGCATACATCAGGCTTGCCTTTAGCAGCACGTTGGAATCTTTGAGTTGCTTTTTGTTTTGCCCTTAGGGAGGATATAGGTTTTCGTCTTTCTTTTTGAGCTTCTAACTCTAACGGGATTTGTCCACCTTTGCCATGTCTTCATGTTTACATTGCTCGTTAGAAGACATGGTCTTCCACATCTCTGAGCACTTCTTAGAAAATTCCAAGAAGTTGACAGAAGCATCTGGGTACTGCTTCGTGTGCTCCTCTTGGCAGGCTTGCCAAAAAATGCACATGATGACATTTTACCTCCTGGCTTCTTAGGCTTTCCTTTACCCATGGGCAGCTATTTCTTGTCTGTGAGGCACAGAGTCACTCAGTGCCATCAGGCCCTGCCTGGCCCGGTGCTGTCTCTATGGAGCTCAATGTATTGTAATGGCTGTGAGAGCGGGAGCCAGATTTTCACCTAATTTTATTACTCTAGAGAAGCTCATTCTTTAAGTATGCTTTCTTAAAATCCAGCTGCTATGTTTCTGATGAATTAAGGCTGTGGAAAGGTCAGGTATAGGTGATCTACCATGCAGCCCCTCCTGAGCCCAGCTTTCCAGTCAGCTTAGCCCCAGTGCCAGAAATGAGAATGGAAAACCTAGAAGATTCCAGCCCCAGACCTTTCAAGATCTTCAGGAATGTTTTGATCTTTCCCAGATAAGGCCTCATGAGTGAAGATGAGTCTAATATGCTTTGTCCTAACTGAACTCCTCCCTCTCAGAAACTGAAAGCATAATATTTTGATGAATATCTACCATATCATAAAATGTCATTGTTGTTGTTGTTATGTGCCATCTAGTCACCTATGACTCATAGTGATCCTATGTTCAACAGTTCTGAAACCTCCCTTATCCTGACCCAGTCTTATTGTCTCCAATACATCCATCTCCATTACCCCAGTTACAGTATCAATCCATCTCATCAGGGGTCTTCCTCTCTTGAGATGTCCCTCCACCCTTCTGAGCATGATGTCCTTCTCCAAGGAGCAGTCTCTCCTGGCCACATGTCCAAAGTATGTTAGACAGAGCTTCAGAATCTTAGCCTTCAAGGAGAAAGTTGGTTTAACCTTCGCCAAAACAGATGTATTTGTTTTCTTGGCAGTCCATGGTATGTTAAAGATTCTTCACCAGCACCACAACTCAGAAGGATTCAGTCTTCTTCTTTCATCCTTAGTCATTGTCCACCTCTCTGATGCACAGTAAGTAATTGTGAAGACCACGGCCTGGATCAGGCACATCACAGTCTCTAGAACGACAACTTTGCTTCTTAGTATCCTGGAGAGGTCCCTGATAGCAGATTTTCCCAGTGCAATTGTTCTTTTGTTTTCCTAACTGCTAGTGCCAAGAGGTTCTGAAATTCAGGCGGGATAGACTCAAAGTCATATTTTGGTTGCCTTGGATTTGGTTTAATTTTCCTCAGCTTCAGCTTGAATTTGCATATGAGTAGTTGGTGATCTGTTCTGCAGTCAGCTCCTGGCCTAGTTTTTACAGCGGATATTGAGCTTCTCCAGCGGTGCTTTCCACAGATGTAATAGATCTGATTCCTATGCATACCATCAGGTGAAATCCAGGTATATAACCTGTGTTTATGTCTCTTAAAAAATGTATTTGCTATGAATAAGTCATTGTGCAAAATTCGATCATTCTCTCTCCAGCTCCATTTCTGTCACCGAGTCCATATTTTCCAACTACTGAATCTTCTTCTTTGTTGCCGACTTTT